GGTCTGTGGGCTCTGCCCTAGCTCAAACCCCTGTGTGCCCTCTACCTTCTCTCTGTCTGCTTTAGTTCTGTGACTCAGGGATCAAACTCAACTTTTGCAGAAAATTGTCTTTTTATAGCCTTTGAAATGTGTGAAGAGCGGTAGCCATAGAAAGACTACAGGAGATTTAGAAATGCGCTTTCAAAAATGACCGAGAATTGATGGGTGGGAGAGTAAACAGTTGTCAGTGGATAAAGGTTCTTAACCAATACATTTCCTTTTGGGGGCAGGTGGATACTGAGCAGGTGTGGGATGGGAAGAGGCCCAAGGTGGCTGGGGGCTCCTAAGGTTGAGGGAATACATTTCTTGGATCATCACCTCCCTAGTTTTTTTTCTCCTCTCATTCTATAACTCTTAAGTCTCCTGGCCTGGTGGAATTTTCTTGGACCATTTGTTCTTATGTTCTGCTTTTTGGGAGATGGTCCTCAGCTTCCAAGCCCTAATATTTTAATTTTTGTCTTTTGTTTTGAAGTGTTCTTGTCCCAGAAATTCCATGTGTAATGGAGTCCTCATCCATCTTTTATCTCCCTGAGAGTATTGTTCTCTGTTTAGTGCTCATTCCAATATTTATTTCTGAGGGTTTTTTTTCTGTTTACTTTTTCTTTTCTTTTTTTTTAAAGGCTTTTTTTTAATGTTTATTATTTTTGAGTGAGAGGCAGAGACAGAGCAAGCAGGGGAGGGACAGAGAGAGGGAGACACAGAATCCAAAGTAGGCTCTAAGATCTGAGCTGTCAGCACAGAGCCCGACCCGGGACTCCAACTCACTACAAGATCATGACCTGAGCAGAAGTTGGACACTTAACCCACTGAGCCACCCAGGCACCCCTTTTCTCTTCTCTTCTCCCCTCTCCTCTTTTCTCCTTTGTGAGAGTGCAGGCGGGGAAGAGGCCGAGAGAGAGAGGGAGACAGAGGATCTGAAGCGGACTCTGCTGACAGCAGCGAGCCCAGTGTGGGGCTTGAACTCCAGAAATGCAAGATCATGACCTGAGCAGAAGCCAGGTGCTCAACCGACTGAGCCACCCAGGTGCCCCTACAGTTTTCATTTTTAATATTTAAGTTTTGAGCTTGATCTTCATGATTGAGAAGGACGAAAGTCATCTGAGACTTGAACCGGAGCATTTATTTCTCTGGGACAATGACTTGCACATCCCTATGGGTCTCCCCAAATAGAAACGATGTTCTCTGCCCTTGGGTCTGTCACCAGAGGAGAGGGATCTCCTAGTGTCCTGCCTGAGAGGCACAGGCCTGGCTGCAGAGAATGTGGCTCTCAGTCTCAGGGATCCTGTGTAAGCCTCTGGCTGGAGGAGGAGCATGGCCTACAGAACAGGCTGACCCAGGGGGATACCAAAATATTTCTTTACCATCCACCCTACAGTCCCATCTTCTGAGGCTAATTGGGTCTATTCCTAAGCAGCATTTGTTTGCTGTTGGAAGTGGACACACTTGGGCCACAGCTGGGGCTGGAACCCAGGCTTCCAGCTCTAGGAGAAGGGACGATGCTTTCTCGGGCAGTTGGTGTTCCCAGCAGCCAGCACAGTGCTGGGCCCCTGGCTCCATGAATGTGCGCTGTTCGGCTTGACTGAAGCATTGCTCTGCCTGAGTTTTGTGGCTGCAGCACTAGAATCTAGAGGAGAGAGGAGCAGAAAGAAGCAGAAGGAAGCTGGCTCACCCGGGATGTGGTGAGAAACGGAGTATTAACTAGGCTAGAAGCCTGAACAGGCAGGTGCTGTGACAAAGATCTTCTGGGTCATTCCGGGTTATGCAAGAGGCAGTGTGCGACACTGGGTGGAAGGATTTGGAAAACTCTGAGCAAATCTGTATAGAGGTGTGGGCAAAACCTGTCCTGTTGTGCTCTTGAAAAAGGGTCTTAATTATATTGGGAGAGCAGTGTAGAGTTTGGGGTGAACCAGCCTTGTTATTGTCTCCTCCACCACCTGGCTTTGTCCTACCACCCTCTCCTGAACCAGCTGTGGGCTCCGTGAGGATGGGCTGTTGGCCGTTGTCTGTCTGCCTGTGCTTCTCAGTGCCGAGCATGGCTCCTGAAGCCCGGGGGGAGCTCCTGTCTGATGCTTGTAGGAGAGTGGCCTTTGCCAGCATGCTGATCTGTCTTGGGAAGTTCTGTGTAAGCGCCGGACAGAGTGATTGCTCAATATTAAGCTTGATTGTCACCATTACCTAAGGCCACACAGCTAGCAGGGAGTAGAATGTGGATGGCAATGCTGTTGCATTTCTTTGAGACCTTTGTCCCCACCTGGCTTGGACTCACAGAACTGGCAGGATGCACAGATGTGTCGGGTTAAGATACTCAGGAGTGCCCGCTACAGCCCGCTCTTTGCCTGCAGGCCTGCTTCACCACTGTTGAGACTGGCAGACCCTTGCCCATACCAGGTAATTGTAGCTAGTTTTTGAGAAAAGTGGTTTATGTGGGACATAGGCTTTTTTTTTTTTTAATGTTTATTTTTGTCAGAGAGCAAGCAGTGCCTGCACAGGAGGGGCAGAGAGGGAGACAGAGGATCCAAAGCTAGCTCTGAGCTGAGAGCAGAGAGCTGGACACGGGGCTTGAGCTCATGAACCCTGAGATGATAACTTGAGCTGAGGTCAGTTGCTCAACTGACTGAGCCACCCAGGCACCCCTAAAATTTCTTTTAATGTTTATTTTTGAGAGAGAGAGAGGCAGAGTGGGAGTGGGGAAGGGGCCGAGAGCGAGGGAGACACAGAATCTGAAGCAGGCTCCAGGCTCCAAGTATCAGCGCAGAGGCCTATGGGGGCTTGAACTAGTGAACCACGAGATCATGACCCGAGCTGAAGTGGGAGGCTTAACTGACTGAGCCACCCAGGCGCCCCTATACTTTTTTTCTTGTGCAGAGAACTTTTAAGGTTTGCTGTCTTAGCAACTTTCAAACATACAATATAATATTTTAGTTGCCGTGCTGTATATTACTTCCCAGGGATTTATTTGTACCTTTTGACCATCTTTAAGTCATCTCTACACCAAACATGGGGCTCAAATTCACAACCCTGAAATCAGGAGGCACATACTCTTCTGACTGAGCCAGCCAGGTGCTCCCAAAATTTTGTCTTACAAAATATACTAAAAGAATACATACATACATACATACATACATACATACAACACACACACACATAAATATTATGACTTTCTGATTATGGTAGCAGTAATCTGTAAGTCCTCCCATGTTGAATCAACTAGAAATGCTGTGTAAATTTATTTGTGTGCAGAGCTAAGCTCCCTAGAAAAATCCCCTGGGGACTAACTAGAAGAGGGAACCAGAAATAAGAAAATGTAAACTAAGGGATGTGCAAGACCTTTAGGGAGAAAACTGGCAAAAATTTTCGGTAAGGTTGGCAGGCTTGCCCTAGCATAGGAGCGCTTATTAGTAAAGCTACGATGATTAAAAGGGGTGGCAAGGGATAAATGCCAAAGGGAAAAGTCAGTCCAGAAACATCCTACATACATGGGGGGACCTTTATAAAAGAAGAGGAGTTGGGACATGCTTGTCATTACGTGTGTTTGGCTTTCCTTATAGGGAAAAATGAGATCCCTACCTCATACCATACACAAGTAAATTTAGATTGTTTAAACTTGAATGGCCATTTTCGTTAGAGTTTTTTTGGTTTTTTTTGAGAGAGAGAGCACAACAAGGGAGAGGAGTAGTGGTTCAGTGGTGGAATGGGGGGAGAGAGAGAGAGAGAGAGAGAGAGAGAGAGAGAGAGAGAATATATCCCAAGCTGGCTCTTTGCCCAGTGTGGAGCCCGATACTGGGCTTGATCCTATGACCCCAGGATCATGACCTGGCTGAAATAGCCAGAAGCTTAACTTAGTGAGCCACCCAGGCGCCCCTTGTATGGCCATTTTCTTTTCTTTTTTTTAATGTTTATTTTTGAGAGACAGAGACAGAGACAGTGCGAGCAGGGAAGGGGCAGAGAGAGAGAGAGAGAGAGAGAGAGAGAGAGAGAGAACCAGAAGCAGGCTCCAGGCTGTGAGCTGTCAGCACAGAGCCTGACTTGGTGCTTGAACTCATGAACTGCAAGATGATGACCTGAGCTGAAGTCAGACATGTAACAAACTCAGCCATCCAGACGCCCCTTGAGTGGCCATGTTCAAAGAAAGAAACGTTTCTTGGACAGTATCTGACTGTAAAAGTAACATGAGCATATGGTAGTTCACTCACAAACTACCCTCCCAGGAGACCTGACTTTTTACAGTTAGAGAACAAAATGCTGGAGGAACATGGCTTAATGCATATGCTAGCGTATTAACTGAGACTGTGTTGCACAGACTGTCATTTGACAAAGCTTCATCTTCTCTTCATTCCCTCATTCGTTGCCTCTCACTACCATCCCCCACTATGGCTGCATGGGATTTAGGCAGTCATTTGTTTGGAGCTTTTGCTATGATAAACGGGACAGCAGTGACCATGCTTGCACTCAGGTCTTGGTAAGAGCTTTGGGCTGTGTTGATTTGTAGCAGAAGAGTCCTGTGTAACAGGATATGGAACATTTGGCATTTTTAGGTATTGTCAGTTTGCCATCTCAAAGGCTCACTGTATCCCCATTGCCTCTAAGAGGACAGTTGAGATTTAAGGCATTGGCTGTGTGGCAGCAGGAGCAGACTACTGTGAGGGGCAGACCCAAGGTGGTGGCTTTATAGAAATTTGGTCTTCACTTACGCCTTAGGGGAGAGGGCAGTGGGCTCTTCCACTCTGGCTTTACTAAGGGACACATGACTATAGGAGCGAGCACTGCAGCTCCCAGAATCCTTTGCTCCTTTGCTTCCCACCCATCATTGTCAGAGTTAACCATTGGTTTCCGCTCCACATTTGCACACCCTTCCATGGGTTTCCCAAATAATTGTAGGGGAAGGGGGCTGCGTTTGTTTATAGGGTAAAAAGCTTGACTCGAAACTCCGCTTTAAGTTGCCTTTTCTTTGCAGATCTTTCTGTATATTCCTTGTGTTTTCTCTCTTTAGTTTAATATTTTATTTTTAAGGAATTTCTACACCCAAAGTGGGGCTCAAACTCACAACCCTGCGTTGAAAAGTCACACACTCCACGGACTGAGCCAGCCAGGTGCCCCAGTTTTTTCTTTTTCTGTGAATTATCTATAAGGGTAATGGTATATAATTTAATTCCCATCCACTGAAGAACATCTAGATGTTTGTGAATATTTTGCTAATATGAGCAGTACTGCAAGGAACATGTTCCTATAGCCATTTTTTTTTTTGCATTTGTCTAATTTGACCCCTGCTGGGATCAATTATTTTAATAATTCTGATCAATATACCAAAGTTCAGTTTTTACTGTACGATGAAAGTGGCGCTTGCAGCCATGGCCTAGAGGCATGGAGCAGTTGTCCACATTCCTTCTGAATGCCCCAGGATGAAGGGATGCTTTTGTGAGGCAGAGCTGGAAAGTCTGGCAGGATGGCACACGGAAATGTGTAAGCCCCGGGTTCTTCTCAAGGTTTCATCCTCTACGTTGGGGGTCCCTAGCACCAACCACCCAGGGATTTAGGGGAGGTCATCTCATTTCACAAATGATAAAACTGGGGTTTGAGAAAGCCATTGAGGGCTTTTTCATTCCAGCTTTCCATGGATCTGGTAATTTCTGGAATTTAGCAAAGATTTCCTAAAAGTCAGGTAAAGACCTTGAACTCTGTGACCTCATACTCTGCCACCAGCCAGGTGGGCAGCCTGTTTCCAGCCTCTTAGACTGTTGTACTTATTGTTCCCACTTCCCTCCTTCTCTCTGCTCACCTGGGTGAGGTGTCCCTACCCAGGTTTCACTTTTGTAACTATACTTAGCATATTGGTTTTAAAATGTCTTTGAGATCTGGCTCCTGAGTGAAGTCTAAATCTCTATCACTTAGCTGCTGTGCAAGCCTGGGCAAGGAATCTGCCCATCTGTTACCTCTGAGCTTCAGTTTACTCATCTGCAAAATGGGGCATCATAAGAGTAAGCTCTCTCTTTTTTCGGTGAGATACATAGTAATTACTCCATCTCAACTATTTTGTTATCTCCGACAAGGGAAGCAGCTAAGAAAGACTTGGGCGGCTGAGGGGGAGGATACAGGAGTCTAGATTTCCCTCCCAGGGGCTGTGGAGAAGACAAAATTTCTTTAAAAGGTGAATGGGAATATCTTTCAACCTCCCTTTTACTTCGCGTGATCTCTAACCCCTGGGGGGACTCATGTGGGGCAGGGATGCCCAAGTGGCCCCGCCTTCTACCTACTTCTCCATCATGTCCACCATCCTCCCCCCTTCCTGTATTGTGCATTTAATTAATGCAATTAACATTTACAAGATGCTGTGAAATGACTGCTGCTGGTGCCAGCCTGGAGGAAGTGAATGACATCACTCCTCAGCCTTATAGCTGGGTCGGGTGGGGGGACGAGTCCCTGAGCCTCCTCCCTGAGTCTAATTGGGGGTGCCACCCACCCTTCTGTCTGCCACATTGCATTTGGACACGTCTGACCTGGTTCAGTTGGGACACAGGCACCCTGCACTAATGAGGCAGAGCCTTGCAGGGAGAACCTTGCGGGTGAGCCCACCCTGTGCTGCTGCCCGCCCCCAAATCATGTGCTGGACCCCAGCTTCTGGGAAAGGGTCAGGGTTCACCACGCATCACGGTGGGTCCTGTCCCTCAGCCCTAAAGTTCCTCACAGTCTCTGGGATGGGTGAGGCAGTGTCCCTAACTAGAATTCTCAGCCGCCGTGTCTTGGCACGGCAGTTACAGGCACGTGCCCTGGACTGCCTAGGCATGAGTCTTGGCATTGCCACCTTGATGGGTGACTTAATTAATTCATCTGAGCCTGTCCAAAGCAGGTTGATAACAGGACCTGCCTCGGGATCTGGTGGGGGCTGAGAGAGCGGTTTGTACCACCTTTAGCTTTTACGGTCAGGACCTGGGCCCTGTTACAACACTGGGGTAGCAAGGCACGGTTGTTCGGTTAGCACAGCAAGTACTCTGGAAAAATCCCTCCGGAAGGTGCCATCTCGTTCAGGGTGGTAACCCAGCCAGGCTATTCTCCAGCGCTAGAAAGATCACACTAGGTAAAGCACTCGGCTTGTCTTGGGGGCCACATTATCCAAGAGGTGGTGGGAAGAGATGACGGTGATTTGTCTCTACCATTCGTTACACGCCGGTCTCTGGTACTAATTTCTTCCTGTTCTCAAGAGCATGTGGTTAAGTTTATGTGTTCTTCTCTAACTTTAACTGGACTTGAGCACGTTAACAAGTCACGCTGGTCACGTGTGTATTATGTTGCTTAACAAGTGTGTGTTTTGTTGCTTAATCTGTGCCTCAGTTTGTCCATCTGTAAAATAGGGATACTGTGAACCACATTGAAGGATTAAATGAGTTGATGCAGCTAGAGCACCGAAGAGGGTGTTGCATATAGGGTAGTAAACGCTGAAAGAAAATTACTGTATCTTTAGGTGAGAGGATTTGTGTGCGGAGGGCCAGGTTATTACTTTTTGGAGCAGGAGTATTGGGAGAAGCCTTCCCGACTGTCACGATGTGGTTTTGGAGTCTGAACAACAGGGAGGTATGTGGTAGAGAGAGATGGGGAGGGCTTCCAGGCTGAGGAGGCAGCCGTAGCACATGCCTGGAGGCGCGCTTCATTCATCCTGTGTGTAGAATTGGTCAGGGAGAGGCACTGAGCTGGGCACCTTTCAGCCTGCGCAGGTTCTGGATGCCGGTGTGTGTTGTGACAGTAAGACAGCAAGGGAAGCTCATGTCAATGCACATCCGGGGTGATGCAACTCACATAATCGAATTATACGTTGGGAGAGGGGGAGTATTTTTAAATTTTTTTTTTTTTCAACGTTTTATTTATTTTTGGGACAGAGAGAGACAGAGCATGAACGGGTGAGGGGCAGAGAGAGAGGGAGACACAGAATCGGAAACAGGCTCCAGGCTCTGAGCCATCAGCCCAGAGCCCGACGCGGGGCTCGAACTCACGGACCGCGAGATCGTGACCTGGCTGAAGTCGGACGCTTAACCGACTGCGCCACCCAGGCGCCCCGAGAGGGGGAGTATTTTAAAACAGCTTCCCCGCTGGGGTGCCTGGGTGGCTCAGTCAGTTAAGCCTCTGACTTCAGCTCAGGTCATGAACTCACGGTTCGTGAGTTCGAGTCCCGCGTCCCGGCTCTGTGCTGACAGCTCAGAGCCTGGCGCCCGGTTCCGATTCTGTGCCTCCCTCTCGCTTTGCCCCTCTCCTGCTCACGCTGTGTCTCTTTCTCTCAAAAATAAACTTAAAACAGCTTTCCCGGGCTAGCCCAGGTAGCTGAGGACACTTAGAGCTGGTTGGTGTCCTTCCCTGAACCTTCCTCCAGTCCTCATGTGCCTAGTTTATAGGGGCAGGAGATTTTTCCTGAATGTTGGCATGCGGCTTTGGGAAGGGTGCTCTGCTCACATGTCTGCTTGGTAGACTGGGGGACAGGTTGGCGCTGCTGAGGCCCTGGGGGAAGGCCCGAGGTAGTTAATCATTGTCTGCTCCTGGCTGCAGGCTCCACCTGGGCCTGTCTAGGAGGGAGCCTCCTGACTGACACAGTAAAGGGCTGTCTGAGGGAATCTTGGGCCCTGGATGAGAGGGAAGTAATGGCCCTCAATTTCAGCCTCTGACCTGCTTGTTACCAGCTTCTGACTGGAAGGCCTCACTGCCCTCCCCCCCTCCCCAAGCTTCTGTGTACCCTTTAGTGTCTTATACCCCATGACGCAGACGCCCTCCTGGTGTCAGGCTACCTAGGTTATTTAGTTCACTGGCTTGGCCAAGGGTAAGACGCTGGGAATTAATTATTACTTGGAACCACACTCCAGCAGTTTTCCTCGGATTTTGGCAGCTTGGCCTCACAGGAACTGGCCGTAGGTCAGCCAACCTGTTCTTCCGGGTCAGGGCTTGGCAGTGAATGGGGGTGAGGAGCAGCTGATCAGACCAGGTCAGGCATTCCTCTGTTTCCGTGGGGCTGGTGAGGTTCCTTAACATGTATCAAGAGAAAGCAGACCAAGAAGTGTGGCCCTGTACACCCTGGACCACGTGGGGTAGGTAGATGCCACCATGTGCTATGGATCAGTGTACATTTAGAACCAGAACAATGCTTCTCTAACTTGCACATAATCACCCAGGGGTCTTTCGAACATGTTGGTCTTGACTTAGGAGGTCTAGGGCCAGTGCCTGAGATTTTGCAGCTCTGACCAGCTCCCAGGTGATTTCCAGAGGTGCTGCTCCCTGAGCCTTATGGGAAATACAGCAGGGGTCTAGTTGCCCCATGCCCTGGCCTGGGGGACGGACAGGTGCAGAGGATGGCTTCGGGACCCCAGGGCACACCGCCCATCCACCTGGGGGCGCTGCAGGCCAATTCAGACCGCTCCCCACATCGCCCCCTGGTGGATGTGGTGCCACATCACTATTGCAGTCCACCGCCCTGTAGCCTAGAGGATGTTTCTAGAAGGTACCCTGGGAGGCTAGTGTGCGTCATCTGGTACGGTGCGGTGAGTCCCCAAGATGGGGCCCAGGGGTTGGGAGTGCTCAGTGCTGATGAGCAGCCTTTTGTTCAGGAAGCTTTTCCCAAGAGCTCAGGAAGCTTTTTCAGTCCAGAGCAATAGGGTGTGGTGGCAAATACCTCTGGAGTAGTTTGGGGGAAAGTATGGAATGGGTGTCTGGGGGCCTCATCTACTACCTAGGTTCTAGTTTTGCCTTGGTGCCCTACCTCTTAGATGTGATTTTTGGCCTTGGAGACTAATCCTGTCTGTCAGTTTTCCTTTTCTATAAAATGGGCCCATAATCACATTAATAGGCGTAAATGAAAGGTGCACGCTCTTGCAGCCAACATCTGTTGAAGACCAGGATGAAGGTCGCACAGCCCTTCAAACCTTCAGCGAGGACCTGGCCTGAGCTGGTCTGAGCTGAATAGCCTGGTGATGATGCAGTTACCAGGACAGGCAGCAGTGGGGAGACAAAGGCCCAGAGGTGGGGTGAGGCTGGAGCAGATGGGGAGCATGCCCCTTGTTAACTGCCCCAGTCCTTTGCCTGTGCTCCTCCATCCTTTCCCTTCTTGGGAACTTGGGACTCTGAGCCCCAGCTGGTGAGGGAGGAGGGGAGTGAGCGACAGGCCAGCAGACCAATGGGCCCCTGAGGTTGGGGTGGGGC